AATTATTATTATTAATTAGACCAGGGGTCCCAGTTCTGGTCCTGGAGGCCCACTCCCCTCCACACACACACACCCACTCCCTTCCACACCCACGCACACAAGGGGCTGCCAGCCCAGCCCCTTTAACAAAGCCTAAAATGTAGCCTAAAACATTGCTAATTCGAACCCTTTCCCTGTTTCAAGCTTTTAAACGTGTGGGAGCTCACCTTTCATAAATGAAATACAATCCCAAGCTTTTGAGTGGGGTGGGTGGGGGGGGGAACTTGCAGGAATTGCAATCCGGCAGCTGGCTGGCTCAATCAATCAATCAGTCAATCAATCAATCAATCAATCAAGCCTTCGCTCGGGTAACGGAGCTCAGCTGGAGTCGGGAGCAGCAGGCCGGGACCGGGGCGCACCTGCGCGGAGAGGGGCTCAGCACCGGGCCCGTGGGGAGCGGTGTCGCCCGGGAAAGCAGCCCCTGGCACAGACTCGGAAGAAGAGCCGCCGGAAGGGGATCCAAGAAAAGGATGATGAATTGGAAAGACGGGATGGAGGAAGGGAGGGGGGGGGGGAGATCCTCCTCTGAATTCCCATTCTTCTTGTCGCCGGAGCATCCGGAGGCCCAGGAAGGGCTTGGAATGGGAGCCGGGTGAGGTGTGTGTGTGTGGCAGCTGGGGGGGGGGAGGAGGGCAGGGGAGTAAATGTTGAATTAATGTGACAGTGTCGAATTCACGGCTGAGAAATAGTGCTGACGCGCTCTCTCCCAGGCCCAGCGCCGTGCCAGCGGGTCTAATAAAGGGAGACAGTGTGTGCGGGGGAAGGAGAGAGGATCTTCGGCAGAAAACAAACGGGGAAAAAAAAAAACTGAAACGTCGCGGCGCCGATTCGGTTCCCATCAGCCCCCGGGGCAGACTGAAAGGAGCTTCCCATGGTGCGTGCCTGGCAGGGCTCTCGGAGAATACGGGGTGCCAACGGTAGACCCCCCCCCGTACGCGTGAGTCCAGGCCCGAGAAAGCACAGCAGAAAAAAAAAGGGGGCGCTTCCTGTCTCCCCTAAACTCTCTCCGCAGGCGACTCGCAGGGCGGCGATGAAATCCCGAGCTGCCCTTTCGAGAAGATCTCCGGGCCTCCGGGTTTCTCTGGGGACACCAGCGGGGATTGTGGACGCCAATGGAGAAAGAGAAAGCCGCAAGAAAGGGCTCTGGACACGTTCTGCCGAGAGGAGATGGCGAGGTTTAACAAGCGCCCGGAGATCACAACCCCCCCCCAGGGTGTCGTCGGCACAGATACCAGGTGCGGGTGTTCTTACCTCTTCAGGAAGCGGGAGTGCCGGGCAGCTCTCCCACTCTGTGTCCGGCCTCGAGCCCGCCATCGGCGCTGAGGGGGCGACACGGGCAGGGGAGGCGCCCGGAGAAGCCAGGATCGGGGCTCGGGGAGAGTCAGCGCTGGGGCGCAAAGCACCTCTCGGGTTCATCAGTCACGGGGTCGGCAGGCTTGGCAAGCGGCAATACCCCAGCAGGGCCCTGAGCGTCTCCCACTGGGGGAGGAGTGGCAGGGGGCAAAACCGACACTGGGCAACGGAAATCGCCCACCTGGACTCCAGCCCACAAGGCTGGACACCTTCGTCCTGGCTTACTGACAGACAAAACCCTCTGATAGGGAGAGCCGCAGAAAGACACACAGAAACTACAGATCTGCCAGCGAAAGGCAGGTGATAGGGCTGCATAAAACAGAAGCACACAAAGACATGTGGATGACAGATTGTCAACAGAGCGTTGGAGGGGACAGACAGCCACGCAGACTGGTCAGCTGCAGGTGGAGAAACACCAAGGTTAAGAGGCAGATATGGAGACAGATGGGTGTGGTGATACGATGACAGGTGACAGATGTGTGGGGAGCGTACTGGCGCACCTTGGCTGCCGTCGCATCATCCAGGTGGGGCTGCACACTGGTGGTGGTGGAGGGGAGTCCCCATTACCCGTAAAGCGCTTTGAGTGGAGTGTCCAGGAAAGAACTATGTAGGTGTAAGGATTATTATTAGATGCACTAATAAAAAAAGAATACGATTTGTGCCCGGCGAAGCAAAAATAATGTAACACGATTAAAAGAAAAAGAGCCACAAACCATAAACATACTTAGAACATCTGTATTTTTATGCCAGGCAAGTTAAAAAATCGTTTTGTAAATCAAGGTCCTGAAACTGCAAAGACAAAAAGAAGAAAAGGGGAGCTGGGCGTGCGATCCATCGTCTCGCGTTCCGGCCCCGTGCCTTGTTAAGACAGCGTCACGACGAGGTCTTTCAGACTGCGCTCGAATGAGCGCTCGGCCACAGCGGGAGGGACTAGGGAGAGTGTGATCCAGCCCGTGGTGGCGCTCCGTGGCTGAGAAAAGTCCCAACTGGCTTAGATACACAGAGCATGGGCTCCAGCAACTGGCCAGAACAGCTCCTTCCAGCCTCGAGAACATTCCCCAGCCGGACCGAGCTTGGAAGATGCTGGAGTCCTCTGCCCTTCCAGGTGTGGTCTGGGAACTGAAGAATTAACCGGCAATACCCAACGTGAACTTAAAATGAAAAATTAAACTCTTAAAATGGAATCATCTTAAATATTTCCATTGTAAATGTAAAAAAAAAGATAAAGGAAAAGAAAACAGCTGAAGCACTTGTAAAAACAGTGCCGTTTTCCACCCACTGCCAGAATTTCACTCCCAAAAGTAGCTGGAAAACTCATAAAGGCCGAGCTGAATTTGCTCTTGAGGGTGGGTGCTGAGGGGGGAGAGATTTGGCGCCACCTTGTGTCAAAGTGGTGGAGAGGAAACAGTCACAGCCCCACTTCACTGATGTCCAGCTCGCCCTACTGTGCCCTGTCAAGACCAGATCAGTGTGAAAGAGACAGCGCAGCAACTCTCTCTCCATTCATTGCGGGACACTGGGATCAGGGCTCCTGGCCAGCAAGCTCCTGGTCCTTCAGCACTGATGAGGGCTGGCCTGTCCACTGACACACAGTTCAACGTCAGCCCGGAGGGACCGGGCAGGTCTTCACTGGTGGCAGAATCCTTGGCGAGCGCCGCCCTTCAGAAACCAACCCCCGCGCGGCCTCCCTGAGGCACACAGACGCACCCAAACCTCCGCGCAGGCCCTTTCCCGTTAAACCCCTCCAGCATCCTGCGTGGCGCTCGATTTCCGGGCCAGGGCGCTCTCCCACTGCACCTCCACCGTTTTGTACAGCTCCATCGTGGCCCTGGCGTCTTCAACAGACGAGTGCCCCTTTCTCCCCACCTGAGGATGTGAGAGAAAGACAGGACGCCCCGCGGCCGCCGTCAACACAGGTAACCCTGCCGGCGCCGCGCGGGCGTTCAATTCACCGGCGACGGGAGGCACCTGTAGATACGGCGCGTGTGTGTGCGCGCGTGGGTGTGCGCTCAAGGGACAAGTAAGAAAGGAAAGGGACCGCGCGGCTCGTATCGCTGGAAGACGCTTTTGTTTGTCAGCATCGGCTTTCCCAGCTGGAAATTTCAGCGGAGCAGGCCTGATCCGGGTGGCCGGAAAGACTCAGGGAAGCAGCCAACTATACGTCATTAGAAAGCGGATGTGTAAGACCTACCTGATGGACAATCCACAAACATGCTTTACTTACGTTCTCCCCTAGATACGCATAGATAAGCAAGCTTATTGCACGCTAACAGTGATTACTGAACTGTTCGGATTTATAAAGGATACCTTTACACACTGAACTCTGCTACCAAATGGTAAAATACAGTCATCTGCCATGCCACAGATCTTGTATACACAACTGTATTCCCAACAGCAGGGCCTTTAAAACCTCTGACTCCTCAGGGAAGCTGCAGATCATGTTGGTCTGTATGGACGGATGGAGAGGATCTGAAAGTACAGATCGTGTGCAGCTCTTAAATGTGCCCATGTGAGCAGGCGGCCGTTTGTGTACGGAAACCTGGGGGGTCTCTCTTCCCTCTGCTTCTTGCTAGCTGGAGGACAGGGGCAAAACCGTTCAGGACAGGACTGCGCAGGTCTGCCCCTGTGGTGCATGTGAGCACGAGGGTTCTTGGTCTTGGCTGCAGTCTATCCTAGAGCAAACAGTTCCCTTCTACGAACTCACACTTGAGAAGCCAGCCAGGCTTCGCTAATGGTATCTTTTCAAAGCTCTTAACGGAGAAGAGTCTGGTCTGGCTCGCTTTATGATGTAGATTCTGGGCTTTTTGTGTGAAACACTGTGGCAGAGAAGCAGATCAGACTTTGCAAAAATGTCGTTAACCCAATTAAGAGTAAAAGCGGGCAGACAAAGAGGATGAGCAGGAGACATTTTGCCACTCAGTGTCGTTAGGTGTTAGTTCTCACCTAACACCTAACGAGAACACGAGGAAGGGTTAGAAACAACAGGATGTTGTCCGCCCCATCTTGCTCGGTTACTGCTGGTAATCGGCAGCCTGCCCTCAGAAAGTCAGCTACAACAACATGGCTGGGCATATCGGCCAAGACACCCGCCACTCTTTGTGTAAAGACACGCTGACCCCATGCTTTTGGTCCCAACTGCACACTTGCTTCACTTTCCAGCCGCACGGTATGTTCAAGACTATTGGTTTTTGCCATCACGGCCTTTCCTGCTGTTCGATCGACCGGTCGTCACACTTGCACCACCTCACCTGGATGTCCCGGCTCAGGATGGCCCTGGTGAGGTTCTTGAGCGAGGGGGTGGCCGCGGCGGGGAGGCCGGCCCTGGCGTTCAGCAGGGGGATGCGGGAAGTGTCACGAGTCAGCGCCGGCGGGTGGAAGTACTCCAGGGCCTTGAAGTCGTTGTGGATGGCGTGACCCACCACCACCTTCCCCTGCAGGAGCTTCATGATCTGGCAACGGGAGAGGCAGCGCTGACCGACCGCAGGGGTGCGGATTACAGCCGACTCGTCAATCACCCGACCCCCCACCCACCCCCCTCGAGCGGACTGTCTGTCCAGTCCAGCGGTACGGCGGAGTGCCTTTTCCTCACCGAGAAGGGCTCAACTCTCTATGATCGCTAACGCTAACGAGCGGCACAAGGACAGGGCGCACATTTACCATAAGAGACCAAGGTTAACCAAAACACACAACGGACCTGCATGACACTGCCGTCTCGAGTTCAAGAGGCCATACAGTTCAATTATATTCAATGTGCTCTACTGTATACGTTTTTGTTTACATTAGGATTTACACCAACTTTGTTCATTAAAAACTTTGTTAATTAGGTTCACTCTCCCCTCAAAGCGCTTTACAGGTAATGGGGATCCCCTCCACCACCACCAGTGTGCAGCCCCACCTGGATGATGCTCAGGGGAGAGGAGAGCAGAGTGATGAAGCCAGTTCAGAGACTGTAAAGGCCATGACTGGTAAAGGCCAGGGAGGAATTTAGCCAGGACACTGGGGTCACACCCCTACTCTTTTGGAGTCACAGAGAGTCAGGAACTCGGGTTTTTCATCTCATCTGAAAGTAGACACCTTTTTAAAGTATAGTGTCGCCGACCGACAATACTGGGGCATTAGGACTCACACAGACTACTGGCCCCACTAACACCTCTTCCAGCAGCACCTCTTCCAGGAGTCTCCCATCCAGGTACTGGCCAGGCTCACACCTGCCGAGCTCCAGCTGGGAGCTGCAGGGCGATACAGACCTCACTGCCACATCCAACCCCCCCACCGGCTCCGGTGTTTAACTCCTGATTGCGTTAGGCCCTAAAATCTCAGACTTCGGTTCGTTCCACTCCACGCCGCCTGCTCCTGCCACGCGTGTCACGCTGGGCAAAGGCATCGGCATGGGAGGGACACTGGCCAGACCGGCTTCTGCGTCGGTCGAGCCCGACGACCCTGATGGCTCACCTGCAGGACCTTCTGTTTCTCGAGCGGCATAGAAGCAGGTGGCAGACTGGAACCACCACTGGGGAAGCCAGACTGGTTGGGCGTGTGATAGAAGAGCAAAGCCCTGGCCTGGACCAGCTGCAACCCCCCATCGAGGGCACGGCAGGAGGAAAAAGGTCACCCCCACCCCACCCCACCCCACCCCACTCACCTGCTTCTTGGCCACCTGGAAGGGCGTGGCCTGGCGCAGGTGATGCGGCCGGATCCCGCTCCAGCGAGAGCGGTAGTCGGTCACGCGGTTGACGGGCAGGATGTACTGGTCGTAGATGACGTCGCCGTCGTGGCCCACGATGCTGCAGCGCGCCAGCTCGCTGCGCTTGCCCATGGGGCCCGTGCCCACCATCTCGCAGTCCACCGCCACGCACTTGAAAGGCTGGCCCGCCCGGGGCAGCCCGCTCTGGAACTCGCTCAGCAGCTGCGCGCCGGGGGGCCGGAAGGCGGGGCCGGCGGTGGTGGGCGGGGGGCTCTGGGAAAGGGGCGGGGGTTTGGGGTGCGGGCTGCTGGCGGAGGAGGTAGCGAGCTGTGGCCGGCTGGGCGCAGGAGTGCGACGGGAACCGTTCTGCTGTGGGTGGGGGGATTCAGGGGTGTGACTGGAGGTGTGCTGGGGCATTGGTGTCGGTCCTTGAACACATCCCTGCTTCTGACCCTGGTCTTGCCCCTTCCCTTGTCTCTGTCCCTGCCCCAATCTTTGTCCCTGCCACTGGGCCTGTCCCTGCCCCAGGTTTTGCCCCTGTCCCCGTCCCTTGGCCTGTCCCTGCCCCAATCTTTGCCCCCGTCCCTGCCCCAGTCTCTGTCCCTGGGCCTGCCCCAATCTTTGCCCCTGTCCCTGGGCCTGTCCCTGCCCAAGTCTCTGTAACTGGGCCTGTCTCTGTCCCTGGGCCTGCCCCAATCTTTGCCCCTGTCTCTGTCCCTGCCCCTGTCTCTGTCCCTGGGCCTGCCCCTGTCCCTGCCCCAGTCTCTGTCCCTGGGCCTGCCCCTGCCCCAGTCTCTGTCCCTGGGCCTGCCCCAATCTTTGCCCCTGTCCCTGGGCCTGTCCCAGTCTTTGCCCCTGTCCCTGGGCCTGCCCCAATCTTTGCCCCTGTCCCTGCCCCTGCCCCTGTCGCTGTCCCTGTCCCTGGGCCTGCCCCAATCTTTGCCCCTGTCCCTGTCCCTGCCCCAGTCTCTGTCCCTGGGCCTGTCCCTGCCCCAGTCTCTGTCCCTGGGCCTGTCCCAATCTTTGCCCCTGTCCCTGTCCCTGTGTGTGTTTCTGCCTGTGCTTGGGAATCTGCTTCTTGTTCAGGCAGCCTTTCCTCTCCAGGTACCTACGGCTCCTCACGAAGCGCTCGTGCTTGCTGCTCGCGTGGGGCTCACCCTTATCGCCGCCGAAGCCCCCCGCGCAGCTGAAGTCCAGGTTGAGCAGAATGTCCGACATGCCGGAAGGTCAAAGGGCAGGGTGCTAACGAGGGTCAGGGGAGGTCTGGGCTTGAAGAAATATCAACCGGCTTGATCTTCTTCAGGGGGCTTCAAAAAGCAGATTCCCGTACCTGCCCCCGAAGCAGGGCAACTAAGACTCGGCTCCACCCCAGCCCTTCACCATGGTCAGCAGATCAAAGGGGTGAAGAAGAATGGAGGCTCAGTGACCACTGACCACCAACCTGCACACAGGGAATGCAGTCCTGGCACTGAGGGGCAAGGCACAAATGGAAAATGTCAGATTTCGTGGGGGTGACATTTTAATATTAAGGTGCAGGGAGGGATTTCTTTTTAACAACACTTAAAACACGTCCATAACTGATGGCTTCCCTGTTTGTTTTGTTTTTTAACGATGTGGACTCTGTGACTCTCCATAAAAACGCAGGACTCCTTCAGTACAACACAGGGAGGGGAGAGGAGCGAGATGCGAGACGCCCACCGTTTTTTTTTTCCTCCTGTCAAAAGTCCTAAGGTGGCACCTACGGAGGGAGAAAAAACAAGAATGCCAAAGATCAAAATGCAGAACTTATTCCTTCAACAACCTGCTGACGTTGCGGGTGAGAGTCTGAGGAAGCGGACAGGGTTCAGAGCGCTCCAGAAAATCTCACAAATCGTGGATCGAGAAAAAAAAAGTCTGTAAAAAAGACAAAGGGGTAAACGCAAGCCCAATATGTCGTTTTGAATATTTAAAGGCTTAAGCTTCCTTAACCTAGGGTAGTAAAAAAAAAGATCAGTCTCGGCCACACGTTTGTCTAGTAATATTGCTATTGATCTACAGTCTACAGATGTTTGCTACATAAACTGTTTATAATAATGACATAGTAACATGTTTGAATGCGTTACAAATTTCACGATAATGACTTTTTTAGTCAGGGTGTAATGTGTTTCTTAAGGCATTACATCGTGGGCAAGTCGGAAACGTGTACATTACATTGGGAAAGCGGCAAGAGAAACGGAGTTGGGCGGTCAAGACTAGTTCTTTCAGATTCCCGATTCCAAGAATTTACGAATAGTAATCGAGCAAAATGGAACCGAGTCTCCAATTCTGATGCTCTGCATCTCAGACGTTCACGAATATCACAAAACAGATGAAGATTTACATTATTTTGCTGGCTGATTCTATTCTAAACTACACCACAAGCACTTTAGACCATTTTTGCTTAATATTATTACTACATTTTCATTATATTTAGATTTCCCCCTTTGATTTGTGCAATAATGTATCCACTTTTACACTTTAGACCAAACCATCAGCAAAACCGTCACGGCAAAACTTTAAATCCAAATCAAGACCTTTGGGAATTACATTATAAAAGCACCTTTTAAAACCCATCTTACTTTCTCTTAAGAAGTGTCGCTGTAGTAATAATACAAGATGTAAAAAGACAGAAGGGTAGCACAGGAAAGATGCTTCAAATTAAAATTCTTACCATGTTCTATGTGAGAAAGTCCCATACAAAGAAATGCCGTAAATTATTACGTGCATAAATATTATCCTCTAAACAATTTTACAAAAAATAAATAAAAACAAAACAGAAATATACAAGAAACGTGTCTAAAACACGCGCTACGATGACCCCCCTGACAACAGGTCCATTTCCGGGGTGAAAGGTCATGGTAACAAGTAGTTCCTGGTTCTCCGAAGAAACTCAATGAAAGTAGCAGCCTGAACAGATGAGCAGCATCTTTCCGCGATTTTCTGTGATAATTTATTTCCATTACAACCGTGTGTATACGAGGTAAAATAAACAACTTCCACTGTCCTGAAGAGTTCTTTTTTTTACCGTCAACTGGCATAAAAGTTACAGTACATATTTCTACGAATAAATGCTCCTACAATCCGACGTTTTCGCCTTTAGTAATTATACTCAAAACATCTGTAAATATTTGCTTAGCGAGAGGTTTTAAATATTTTTAATATTTTGAAAATATCCTGGTTTATATGTATATGTATTGTATATCTCATCCAGGTGAAACTAAATCGATTCTTTACGTTCTGTAGTTAGAATTTCCATACATGTTCAATAAATCTTTTACAATTAATCTAAGACTGAGAGGGCATTTCACGTGTCCATACGGTTGTGTCAGAATTAGAATTGTGTCTGATAGATTTTATCGTGCATAGCTTTGTCAGAGCAGAGAAATTCCATCACTTTTATTCGCAGTTGGATGGATGTGTTTGAGTATTAACCCCCAGATTTCACCAACAGTTGTTCTAATAACGGTTTAAAAAGGATTCACCCGTAAAAAGGTCAGTCTCGTTTATCTTCTACATTGTGGTATTCCTGAGTAACAGAATGTGTTGCCATCATCTCACAGCGGTAAATATTTTCGGTGCTGTGATGTTCTCAGCTGATGTGGTGGGGAGCCAAAATGCAGAAACCTTGGGAATCTAGATTGGCAGCCCCAGCTGTAAAATAACAGTTTCACATGGAATCATGGGAAATACAACTCTTACCCTCACTGCCCATGGGATTATGGGAAATACAACCCCTTCTCTCCCCACACAAGGAATCATGGGAAATACAACCCCGTCTCTCCCCACACAAGGAATCATGGGAAATACAACCCCTTCTCTCCCCACACAAGGAATCATGGGAAATACAACCCCTTCACTCCCCACACACGGAATCATGGGAAATACAACCCCCTCACTCCCCCACACGTGGAATCGTTTGAAATAACCATTCTGGATTTTTTTTCTCCTTTTTTTACATCAGGCTCATTGATGACTGCCGTGGGCGTGTCGATCAGTTCCCAGACTTTTTCTGCAGAACAGCAGAAGCACCTGGCTGCCAGCATCACCTCCTTCCTGTCGCGGTACAAGCACATCACCGACTCTTATATCATCGTGAGTGCACGTGTGTGGGGTGCTCAATAAGGCACTGTCTCGTAAGATGTACGATGATAATCAGGAGGAGCTGGTTTAGCTCTGAGATTAACAAAAATGTTATGCACAACCCATGCCGAGCTAGCACCAGGGAGTCCACTGGACACAGAGATTTCCATGGCGGTACTGGACCGACCAGCCAGCCAGCATCAGCCGCTGCTGTTCCTGAAGGGGTTTGTAGCCACCAACCACTGCCTGAACCCACCTCGAAGCTTGTCCAAAATGACCCATGAGCCAGGTCTGCTGTTTCCTTCAGCCAGTCTGAGGCCTTGTGCCGCTGCTGATTTTAGACGACCTACGAAATCCAGAATGTGGATTATCACCCTGGAGGACCTGGCATCTAGATCGGAAATCTCATACTCCATTCCTGGAAGGCCAGGTGTCTGGTTTGGATTTTTGTTCCATCCAAGCTGTCATAGTTGGTGTAATTACTGACTTGAGTCCACATGTGATTATACTTAAAATGAATTGACTATTTTGAGTACAGTCAACCTGTGGCCCTTTGAGTTCTCCACATTACAGTATTTTGTTACAAACTGCTCTCCAGTTCTTTACCAGGATTGATATGGCATTTAAGGAGCTGGTTGTATCAAACCACTGCGCTAGTTTGGAAAAGAGTCAGATGTGAGTAAACCCGGTTTTTAGTATTCAACTACAGACGTTTAAGAAAAGTCCTCTATAAAATGCCTAAAAAAAAAATAGTTGTTATTTTTTAAGTGACTGATCAGACTGGAGGAAACAAAGAAAATATACCCAGACTTCTGGGAACTGAGTTTAAGATCCCTGTTCTAGATTTTAAAATAATAAAACTACTAAGATATCTCCGTGCATCAGTATTCTCTTGGAAGCTTCCTGCCACTTTCTTGCAGTTCCCCACAGCTCTTGTTTGTTTTCACATTGCAGGAGTTTTTCAGTGAGGGTCTTTGGGACACACTGCCCCCTGCCTGGCAGGAGGTCCTGTGCAGCCTGTCAGCCCCCCAGATAGCAGACCTGCTGCTGGACAGCACCCCCCAAGGTGGACGGAGGTAATAGCAACTCATAATTACCATTATAGACATGGGGATTGTGGTTAAAACAACAAAGAATAACAGCAGATTTTGTGCCATCATGTTGCTTTCACATTTCTGAGAGTTCTGTGATTGAGAGACGCTGGTCATGTATCCTTGTTTTTGAAGGAGATATATTCACCGGAGAGATCCTGGTAGTGGACTCTAAAACTCAGGTATTACAGATCATTTGGCAGATCACTGATGCTCAAGCTTTAGTAAAGAAAAAAAGGTGACTGGTGCAATAGCAACCATTATGTATTCGACACATGGACAAACCATAATAAGTGTTATTATGCTTAGTTTGACATTGTTGTTGTTTATATTTGTCTGATTCTTTTATCCAAAGAGTCCTACTTGCATTTTACTGAAACAGTCTGTGTGAGGCACCTTGCGCAAAAGTACAACAGCAGTGTCTCACCTGGGATTTGAACCTGCAACCTTCCAGTTATATGTCCTAAGCACTAATCACCACCCCCCCAATGTTGTGGGTGTGTAAAAACCTGAAATGCTGAAAAACTCCAAAGGAGGATGTGTCAGGACAGAAGGACCGTTTTCGTGCCCTCCGGGTTAAAAGAATGGTTCTTATCCCGTCTGTTCCAGCTATGCGTCGGTGTGGCCACTCTCGCTGCTGGCCTTCAGAGAGACGGCACACGCCCTGGCCTTTCCCAGAATGCCCTGCCGCCAGGCGGCGGGATGTGGGCGGCCGGCGGAGTTCCATCAGAACCCCTGCCAGAGCTCCTTGCTGACCCACATCTTCCGCAAACACGTCAAGCCCAAGAAGCAGCACGAGATCCGGCGGCTGGGAGCAGTACGTGCAGAGACGCTCCCGGGTTTGGGGACCAGTTCCGGGCGGCATGTTGCTTGGGTTTGACCTGTCGTGCATGTGTTTGCTGAAAACAAGCCAGTCCTGACTTGATGGAATGGGAATGGGAACTGATCCCAAATACCAAGTGTATACAGCGCCTTTCAAGGTGCTTTACAAAAGAAAATCTAGACGGAGGCAAAAGATGAATTGTTAACACAGACCGATGTAGCATATTAACCCAAATTATTAGCTAGAGAATACAAGTGTAAGTCTAACAAGGTCTGATAGCTTAAGAGCTTGTTTGAAAGCAGCTGAAATACAGTACAGTAATAAAAGTACTAGGGCCTGGAAAAGACAAAAGCAGTTTTTCTGCAGTAGATTGAGAGGGATATCCACCGATATGAGCCACACAGTGGCACAGGGGTTAGACTTCCTCACAGCACTGGGGCCCCGGGTTCAGTTCCTGGGGTTTGTCTGTGTGGAGTTTGCATGTTCTCCCCAAACCTCCATCTTGTCAGAGTCTAAATGGAAAAAATTGTGGTGCATCCATTTCTGAACCTTATCTGAGCCATGTGAAACCACACCGCCAAGAACTGCTCTGATGTTAAAATAATGGTTCTGCCCCTGGTGTATTTAAAGATGTACATACAATCCAGCAGAGCAGCTATAAGTCTCTGGGACTGCTATAGCGATGGTTGATCTGTCTCCCCTCTTCTCCCTCTCTCAGCTGGTGAAAAAGCTCTCTGACCTGACTGACTGTCGCAAGGTTGTGGATGTGGGGTCTGGCCAGGTAATCATAAAGGCAGCATTTCCTTTGCATTGCAGAGTAGTTTACTGAAATTTCAATACCTAGTCGTCAAGTTTACCAAAATGACATTACCAGCCAAGGGGCGCCAAGTGGCGCCGGGGCCCTGGGTTCAATTCCGGACCTGGGGTGCTGTCTGTGTGGAGTTTGCATGTTCTCCCTGATGTGTGTGTTTACCTATGTCTGTGTGCTTCCTCTGCGACGGACTGGTGTCCCGTCGGGGATGTGTCCTGCCTTGTGCCTCTTACTTGCCAGGATAGTCTCGGGGTCCACCTGCAACCCTGAACTGGATGAAGCATTTAGAAATTGGATGGATGGACAGCACTACCTTGGCTGGAAGTCTTTGAACTTGTAACTTAAAGTATGTTATAAAGCCAGCCTGTAACCTGAAGCCTTCAGCCACCACATCATAACTCCTCCACAAGTCTATCCAGGATTCTATATTTCTATATATGAGATCTCTCAGATATAGACCAATTTTCTGCATCCTACAAATCTGACATTAACCATGTGTTCCAGACTGTTCAATCATATTGTATATGTCATTTCCAATTTGTCAGAGGGAAGTAATCGTGGGCCCTACCTGTGAATCCCCTGACCTTCTGATTGGCTGCGTGTCTCTTCTTCCCTCTCCTGCAGGGTCACCTGACTCGTTTCCTGTCCTTTGGGCTTGGCCTGTCTGTGATTGGCATGGAGGCTGACCCCGCCCTCGTTTCCATGGCCGCCAAGTTTGACAGACAGCTGCTGTGCACACTGCAAAAGGAGACCCAGCGAAAGGTTTGAAACTAGGCTGGATAGCAGATTGGGAATAACGGGAAGGGGACAGGAGTTTACATTTAAGAATTAGTTAATACATTTTATTCCTAGTCTGGTTCAGTTGCCTGAGATACTCAGTGCCACAATATAGTTCTAATCAGAGGCAATCATAGAGTCTTGTCTTGTTAAAGGCCTACTCGGATTTATTAAAACAGCACATAATGGAGGAGACACAAACACAGCAAGTTTAGGGGGAAGAGGGCTCATTTTAATAATCTTTTAGCACATCAATGTGGAAGAAAGCCTTGTTTTTATGGAAGAAAGTCCATAACTTCTGGCCTTCTGGTACTTCTAGTATCGGGCATGATTATGTGGTACCCAATTAGCCTTCCATTTTTAGATTAGGTTCCCAGTCATAATAACATGTCCTTTCTGCTGCCTGTTTTAGAATGGGGGGGCACATGTCTCTCTGTTGCCCACTGGCCCCTTGCCGAGTCATGTGACAGGGTGGGTCAACCCCAGGGCATCATGGGAGGAGTTCACAAAACTGCTGCAGAGGGCTGAGGGCCAGGGTGTGCAGGCTGGCACCCCTGGGAACAGGAAGAGACGGGAGGACGGCCTGCCACACGCAGACCAGGAGCCCCTGCCTGTGTGCCAGCCTCTCTGTCCAGAAACACCACCCGGCTGCCAGAACCGTGCCTGGGGGGAAGGGAACTGCACACAGCTGAGATCAGAACCCCAGAACTGCTGTGAAGGCTTGAATTTTAAACCTGTTCCAGAGGACATTGATCCAGGTAAGACTTGGGACGTGGCAGGGATGCACCCTGAGTGCTCTCAGAACCAGGCGCGAGAAGACGCAGAGTTCTGCCCAAGTCCAAAACCCTCACGGACAAACTGTAATCCTGATCAGAACCCAAGTCAGTTGACTGCGAGCCCAGAACAGACCTGCCCTGCCCGCTTTCCCTGCTGGGCCAGCAGCAAGTCTCCCTGTCTGGATCACACGGGGGCACCAGTGGCAGAAAACGGGCCCGAAGCAGGGGGCTTCATCCTGACCGGCCTCCACGCCTGTGGAGACTTGAGTTCTGCTCTCCTGCGCCACTTTGCCAACTGCCCCGACGTTGTGGGCATCACATCTGTGGCCTGCTGTTACATGAAGCTCAGCACGGCTGATAACCCCACCCCTCCCGGAGTCCTACCTCCGCCCAGCCCCACCCACGGAGGAGGGGCTACCTTGAAGGGGGAGGGCCCCAGCTGTGGGTATCCAATGAGCTGTTATGTCAAAGCGCTGCCTGGACACCAGCTGTCCTATAAGGCGCGGGAAGGGGCGTGCCACGCCCTGGAGGACTACGCCCAGCGACTCCGCAGCGAGAGTGGGCTGCTGAAGACCCACTGCTACCGTGCCGTGCTGGAGACTGTGATCCGGCGGGTCGAACCGCGGCTGCGAAGGCCTGGCATCCAGACGATAAAGAAGGCGCACGAGCTGCCTTTTGCAGAGTGAGTAGAGCCGGGGGAAGACGGCAGCCTGGTTATTGCACTATTCCTTGTATTTTGTGGAAAGCACGTGTCCTGGTCGGTTTTCCAAGACGGAGAGGCGGGCGCGATTCACGACCAGATCCTTCTGACCTGTAGGTACGCCCGCCTGGGCCTGCGGCGGGTGGGGCTGCCAGCCGATCCCCCACTGGACAGCGCCAGTCTGGACGCCATGCTGTCCCAGCAGGGGAAGGTGGTGGCGTATTTCAGCCTGGCCCTGCTCCTGGCGCCCGTGGTGGAGACGCTGGTACTGCTGGACCGAATCCTCTACCTACAGGAGAGAGGTGAGAGCACATCTGCCCCATCTGATTCCCCCAGATCATGTCTTCATCTGAAAATATATGTAGCTGCAGAGAAAAGTATTGACACCCTGTAAAATGAATGAGGACATGCACTTGTCATTTCTTCCATGAATTAGAGAACAACCTAGTTTCACATCCAGGATGCTAGTAATTACACCTGCAGCAGACAGTGTCCTTATCCACACCTTTGTAACCAGCAGTGTCTCAGGAGATCAGATAGAATACTTCAACACCTCTTAATCACTACACCACCACACGGAGAGCAACCACACAGAGTAAGATAAGGTTTTCCTTTCTTCATAATACTAGAGAACTTATTAAAAGAGTGGAAGTTGTCAAAATATGCCCATTCCCTGAGTTTGGAAAACCTGGTATATAAATTTCCACCTCAATAAATTAAGATTTTTTTTTTTGCTGTAGCAGAACATATAAAGGCCTCAGCCAAATGAATAATAACAATAATAATAATAATTGTGGATCTGCAAGAACAGCAGTTTGCTTTTACATCAGATCCGCCAGGATTTCCCTCACCTGTCCAACCCGCTCTCTCTGTCTGCCAGGCCTGAAGAGCCAGCTGACCCCTCTCTTCGATCCTCACTTCTCTCCCCGGAACCTGGTCCTGCTCGCGGTCAAGCCGGCCGGGAGCGGGGGTCACAGAGCCCGGCGGGATGGCCGGGATGTTCCCAGGGGAGCTGCTGTCTGCCATCCGGGAGCCGTTCTTGGGACACGGCCCCAGGAAGGGAGCCGACTGTTGGAATAGGGAGAATTCCCTATCCCATTGCTCAGCTCTCCCGCCCACAGGCCTTCGACCTGCATGTCGGCGGTGATACGTCAGGGCCTCGGGTTTCGGAGCTGTTCCCCAGGACTCTTTCGTTTTCCATGAAACTCGCCCTCCCACTGACGTTTTTAAATATTAAGTACATCATTTGGAGAAATGCCTCCCTAATCTGTCAAGTACCGTTTTACGAAATGTATAATCCTCAATAAAACTGCAAAGTAATCCAATATGTTTTTGAAAGGTCTTTATTGTTGCATGTATAGAAAAATGTTAAATAGCACTGTTTCGTGATGAACTGACAAAGAGCATTCAAGACATTTACTAACAGCCTATGGGAAGCGGTCAAGACCTCAACAGAAACCTATATCACTTAACAGACCCTCTGGAATTCTCGGATTGCTGTCCCATCAAGTCAATATTGCTGGATGTTAATTAGCCGGAGAGCCTGAGAGTGTGGCAGGGAAGCCAGAAGAGATGTAAAGCACTGAAGGGCTGGGGCTGCCTGCTTTGACTCCAGAAAATCTGCCCATGCTTACACAAGTGCTGGCAGAACCCCCAGTAGCTGTACGGGGTCTTCAGCTCCAGTGCTGGTGGACTGGGAGCCCGTAGGTCTTTTTATGGTGCTGTTCAACTAGCAGCTGAGGAAGACCTCGTATAACAGGTGACCTGTGGCTTTGGCTTGTGATCCAGATCATTAAGCTAAGTCAAGAGAGATCTAAAGCAGAATGAAAACTCAGGGCTCTGCAGCCCTGCATGGCCGGAGCTGCCCCATCCCCAAATTAAAACCTTGAGAATTTAAAGCCTGCAGGTCGCACTTTCTGAGCACACCCAACGCCATGTCATCAAGCTCACACAACTTCCTCCCGGGGGAAATCAGCAGAGCGAAGTTACGAGGCTGTTTTCGGAACAAAAAACGGCCCATCAGCTCCTCTCCTGGACGGATCTTCAGTACCAGAAGCTCTTTCGTGCGCGCCTGGTCTCCACGATGCCCATCTTCTCCATGACTTCCTCCTCGAAGGTCTTCAGCGACGTAGTGTAGGTCTTCTCCAGCGCGTCTTCCGGGGACGTGTCCTTGGGACCATCTGACAGGAAAAAATAATTCCCCGCATTTCAGGAACAAACTCACTTTTCAGATTTTTTTCTGTGCAAAGTGGGCTCAGCCTTCAATGAAAACATTTCTGTTCATTTCACTATTGTCTATTATGATGCCTGCAACTTAAAACCTTCTCCTGTGAGCTCAGACATTACTCATCCTGCATGTGCTCTGTGCTCCTCCTGTGAGCTCAGACATTACTGATCCTACATGTGCTCTGTGC